GGTTGAGAAATAAGTCCTTTTCTCTCTTTTCTCACAATACAAGAACTTGTGGGCACTCCATGAAATTGCTGAGCAGTCAGGTTAGAACAGATAAAAGGAAGTACTTCTTCAATCAAAGAGTGATTAACACATGGAATTTACCGCCACAGGAGGTGGTGGCAGCTACAAGCATGGACAGCTTCAAGAGGGAACTGGATAAACATATGGAGCAGAGGTCCATCAGTGGTTATTAGCCACAAGGTATAGATAGGAACTCACAGGTTGGGGCAGGTGATGCACTGTATTCTTAGTGCTTGGGGGGCAACAGTGGGAGGGCTTCTAGTGTCCTGGCCCCGCTGATGGACCTCCTGATGGCAGCTGTTATTTCTGGCCACTGTGTGGTACAAAGTGTTGGACTGGATGGGCCTTTGGCCTGATCCAACATTGGTGTTTCTTATGTTCTTATGAGCCCTGTGGCAGCTTTAAGACCAACACAGTTTAATTCTGGATATAAGCTGTCGTGTGCATGCATATAGGTAGAGGGTGAGCAGCAAATCCGCATACAGTATAATGTTTAACAGATTCAAGGACCAAACAGGAAGAACAAACTTAGTGTATATGGTTACCATTTGTTTGGGTTTAATTCTGGAGAGAAACATAATGAAGGACCCGCTGAATTTGTACCCGATGCCTTCCCAACACCGTCACTCTCTGCCAATGCTATTCAGAAGACCAGGGAAGGAAACCCCCTGCCTGATCCTATCGGGTCACAACGAAAGCACTTTGTAGGCCTCTCTGGGAAAAGGAAAAGGAGCCTGTTCCACCCATCCACACACCGAGAAGAAAAATAGATTCAGGGTTGTTGTTTTTTTTTAAATGTTCCCTTTTTAAAAAATCTACACATTAGTGACAGGCTTCCGAACACTCACAGCCTTCTCTCCAGCCCCCACACACCAGCGGGTGAGCAGCTGAGTCGTGACGGGCCCTGGCTGCCTGCCTGGGAAGATGGGCTGTACTGACAGGAGTCTCCTCCCTGAGAATATCCCCCCCCCGGCAGGACTTTGGTTCCTAAAAACACTTTCCTGGGGCATTTGGGGAAGCCGCATCCAGGCAAACCAGAAAGAGGCCTCCTCATGGGGTCCAGATACATATTCTCGTTGAGCAAAGCGTCAACATTTTGATAACTGAGGTGGCCTGGAATAACACCCCATGTTGGTAAAAATGTAATAAGCTAGAAAGCGATCCAACTGTTGCCCTTAAATGGGACCCCGACGTCTGCTGTTAAGAACGGAGAGCCTCACCCTAATCAGTAGTCAGGCCGGCCCCGTTTGTTACTTACCACTCCAAGACAAACTAGACAGGATGCTAGGAGTTGCGTGTCCAAAGCTCCCTGCGTTTTTAGAATTGTCAGTGGTGTTCCCTCTAAGCTGAGTTAGTGTGAGCTAAGCTCACAGTTTTTTAGCCTCCAGCTCACATTTTTCGTCTCAGCTCAGGAAGGGTAGCTCCAGAGCAAACTGATTCATGCAGTGGCGAAGTCACTCGCTCACAACTTTAATGCCAGTAGCTCACAAAGTTGAATTTTTGCTCACAAGACTCCACGGCTTAGAGGGAGCATTGATTTGTCAGGTGTGCAGAGGCATGATTTTGAATACATGCATGAAGCCGCCTTATACTGAATCAGACCTCTTGGGTCCATCAAAGTCAGTCCCGTCTACTCAGACTGGCAGCGGCTCTCCAGGGTCTCAGGCTGAGGTCTTTCACATCACCGACTGCCTGGCACATTTTAACTAGAGAAGCCAGGGATCGAACCTGGGACCTTCTGAATGCTGAGCAGATGCTTTCATAAGAATGTAAGAGAAGCCACGCTGGATCAGGCCAGGGGCCCATCCAGTCCAACACCCCATGTCACACACTGGCCAAAACCCAGGTGCCATCAGGAAGTCCACCAATAGGGCCAGAACTCCAGAAGCCCTCCCACTTAGCCCCCCCCCCAAGCACCAGGAATACAGAGCATCACTGCCCCAGACATACTGTCTGAGTCACAGCTCCTCCCTAAACACACCTGAAGCTGGTTTATGCTAAATCAGACCACTGGTCCATCCAAATCAGTCTTGTCCACTCTGACTGGTAGGGGCTCTCCAAGGTCTCAGGCAGAGGTCTTTCCCATCACCTACTGCCTGGTCCTTTTTAACTAGAGATGCTGGGGATTGAACCTGGGACCTTCTGCATGCCAAACAGAAGCTCTTCCACTGAGCCATGGACCCTCCCCAATCTTTAATCCAGACTGCATCCAACTGGGAGCTGGGGCCTTCCCCCAACTTGAAATAGCTATTCCCCACCCCCACCAGGGCAACCAATGTGTAGCCCATCAGTATGTCTATGTTGCCCCAGCTGGGGCCATTCCAAGTCAGGAAAATGGCACAGGGTGCGAACGGTGGGGTCCCTATCGAACCTGAAACTTTCTGCACACAAAGCAGATGCTCTGTCACTCAGCCACAGTTCTCCCCGCAAGCCCACAGGGCACCGGCTTGGGTTCCTTGACATACAGGCAAACCATCTTCCTGCTGCAGTGCCACACAGTGGCAACCCAAATTTACACACTACAAAGATGACCCCCATGGCACTCCTATTCATGCCACGCCTATTGCAGGATTCTTGCACAGATCTGTAAGTGGCAAGCTTGCTCATTAAACCTGTGACATTCGAGACAATCCTTTACGGAAACCCTTCTCAACCAAAGGAAAAAAGCCGCTGGAACCACAGCTCTGCACAACAGGGGTCCCCAACATGGCGCCTGTGGGCACCAGATTGCCCACCGACACCTTTCTTGGTGCCCACCACGTGTTTTTCAAAAGTGGGTGGAGCCAGGAGAGGCTTTGGCCTAGCAAGGCTTACGATTGGCTACTTGCGATTTGATCGGCAGTGCAGATTTTTAAAAAATGTTGCTTCGGCAGCAGCTGCCACCACAGCACAAGGTGCGACTGAGGTAAGCTGCAGCGGCCATCACGTAGGTGGCTCCACCTCCCGTCGCAGCCATTTTGTGGCCATGCCCATCACGCTCTGTCAGAAACCCAAAGGTCCCTCCGGACTCAAAAAGGCTGGGGACCCCTGAGGTACAAAAATCAACACAATCACGCCCGTCACGACAAAGGAGGAAAGCTTTGTGCAAACGCGCACTTTGCATCTCAGTCCATACTCGTTTTACTCACAATGGTCAAGAATATTGGATCCAAGTATATTACATATATACATATATATATTTTTATTATTATTTCTTGGAAAAAGCCAGACACAAATAGACCAGCTGATGAATACCCAATAAGGCTTTCACAATGCGTCTTGGGTAAACTCATAATAAGGGGGATACGGGTACATGCAAAACCACTCCTTTTTGATCGTAATTCTGTTGCTCCCTAAATCTTAATCTTTTAACGTCTCCACTGAATCACTGCTGGCAGGGTGAGCTGGCGGGATCCTCCGTGTGGGTCCCTCTCTGAAGTTCCCCAGGCATCAGCAGGTGGATGAGTCAGGAACGCACGGCTCGACGCGGGTTGTTCACACTCCCGGGGAAAACCTGCCTGGAATCACCACGTGCCAATGAAGTCATGAGACACATCCCAGCTCATTTCATTCCCTCGGCCAAGGGCTGTTGTGAAGCAGCGAAGGCAATCCTGCCCCTGCCGGACTTCATCCTAGATGGGAATTCTGAGGATAGTTGAGGACGCTTACAGGAGACTTCCAGCCAGGTCTGGAGCGGCAGAGAATGAGAAACCAAGACCAAGAGCAAGGAGGAAACTGTGAGACATAACTGGAGGATTTCCAGGGCAAGTGGCGCAACCAAACGAAGATCAAGAGCTGGTTTGCTCGCACGGTGTCTGTTGTGTGAGCCTCTCGCAGACGGATGCCTTCCAGCCATTCATGTAAGCCGTCTCCACTGGGAAGCCTTGGGTTGAACCTGACTTGAGATGATCACCAAGGTCAACCTGCGAGGCCTCATACATACCTGCAAGTGCTACAGTCAACACCTGACATGCCTGTGTGAACCAGCCCGGAATGAATACCTTATACGATTTGAGACTTCGGGAAAAGGTAAACGGTTGCCTTCCGTGACCCTTTGAGATGCCATCTGGAATTCCAACCCCTCCAGTCTGAGAACTGATCCCCTCCGACCTCACGGAGACCTTTGCCCGCAACACGCCACAGCTTTAACTGACCCCCCATACTGGGTACAACATGCAAAGTACAGCTCCTCCCGGAAACCCATAGCAAAGGATAGAAGGGCCCGACATTTTTGGTCCAGCTGTTTTGGCTGCTGACCACTTCAAGTTCGCGCACCCAAAGGCAGTCCAGGGAGCCCCCGAATGTTCCGTCCTTGCCAGGTGCTCAAACGCCACCCGATAGCCCAGATGTGTCTGTCTCTGGAAGTCACTGCTCTGCTGCAAGACAACTGGAAGATCTTGTGATGACTGGGTAGAGCAAGGTCATGTGCTCTGCCCCCTGGATGGGCAGCTTGTGGCTGGCGTAGTGGTGGATGATCTCAGGGACGTTGTCAAAGGGGGGGCTGTGCTGGCCCAGGATGAACTTGTTATCTTCTGTCGGCAAGAGTTTCATGTGCAGGAAGCCCTGGCTGCTCCTAAGTCAAGGGGGGAGGGGAGACAGACAGTAAAGAAAGTGGCTCCTCCCTTAGTTCTTTCAGAACATTCCATCTCCAAACAATCCAACCAACTCCCCAAACATTCCATCCCGCATTAAAGGGCTCTCCAAATATTCCATCCATCTCTCGAGCATGAGTCAGGGGCTTGTGGTGGAACAGTCTCCTGAGAGGCTAAATTATGCTATCGAGAACAATGCTTAAGTAGAAATGAAGTGGAACTGTACACTCATGTAATTTCTGATTCCTAAAACACTCTGGCTTCTGGAAACGTTAAACAAAGCACAAACCTAAATCTTATTCTAAAACATAAAGGCAAATGTTAAGCGACTTTCCAGATTTCACACCATTGCCCACCCCTCTGCAAAAAAAAGACCACTAAAGTCAACATCATCCATGAAGCCAGCACGGTGTAGTGCTTAGAGTGTTGGACGTGCATCTCAGAGACCCGGGTTTGAATCCCTACTCTACCATGGAGCCTGCAGGGTGACATTGGACCAGTCAGTCTCTCTCAACCCAACCTACCTCACAGGGCTGTTGTGAGGATCAAATGTAAAGGGGGGGAGTATGGTAAGCTATTTTATGTCCCCATTGGGGAGAACAGTGGAATGTAAATGAAAAAAACATATAATAAAATAAATTAGAAGTATATATTAGGGGTGTGCAGCAAAAAAAAAAAAAGATAACTGGTATTTTTCCAGATCTGGATATATTGGAATCAAAAAGTATCAGTATTCCCTGTTTCCCAGGTTCCAATACCAGTATGGTATTCTGATCCAGGGGTGTTTTTTTGAGGGGGGGGGTTCCTATATTTTTCAGCTCCACTATTTCCTATGGGGAATCTTTCCAGGGGGCGGGGTGTGTGTGTCTTGAAAGGTACTGGCATCAAAACTGCAGGAGAGCTGCTGGTCACTGTCTTTTCAATAGCCCCAAAATTTCAAGTCAATTGTACCAAGGGGGCCCAATTCTATGGGCCCCTAAACAAGGTGCCCCAACCATCCCCCATTGTTTCCTATGGTGGAAAAAAATGACACAAAAATGTAAAACCCCTCCCCTACAGAAAAGCTACTGCAAGCTATTATTAAGCCCAAGCAATGTAAAAAAAAGAAAAAAGAATCTGAACCTATGTAAAACCCAAGAATCTGAAACTGTGTAAAACATAAGAATCTGAAACCATGTAAAACATGAGAATCTTCATATAAAACATAAGACTCTACAAATGCACCAACTGACACAAATCAATTCCAGCAAAGAAGAACTTGAAAAAACCCAACAAAAGCACTTGGAACTGACATAATGTTACCTAAAACAGCCTGGCAAGCCAATAGCCAGAAGACACACAAAAAAAAAAATGGGGGGAATAAAGAGGGGAACAGTCCTGGGAACCAGCAAATGCCAACTTCCGATATTCCCAGTTAATCCTGAATATTTCTGGGATTTTGGGGATCCCATTTTTTGGTATTTTTATTATATATATTCAGCTTATTTATATCCAAGTGCACATCCCTAGTGTATATATTAAGGCCATGACCTGGATGGCTCAGGCTAGCCCAATCTCGTCAGATCTCAGAAGCTAAGCAGGGTTGGCCCTGGTTAGTACTTGGGTGGGAGACCACCAAGGGAACTCCAGGGTCATGACACAGAGGCAGGCAATAGCAAACCAACTCTGTTTGTCTCTTGCCTTGAAAACCCTACAGGATCACCATAACTCAACTGCAACCTGACAGATCAATTGCTGCCCAACACAAAGTGCAGTTGGGGGGGGGGACTGTTTTCCCAGAATTCCTTTCAGCTCTACAAATATTCCCCTTTGGTATCTGATGAAAGGAGCACTGACTCACGAAAGCTTCTACCCTAAAGTGTTGTCAGTCTCTAAGGCAATCGAGCTCTTGTACAGACCAACACTCCTACCCTCTGAAAATGTTCCTAACTCCCATAATTGTTGGATATTGTAACTCTGCGTACAAGAGGATTTGAGAGGGAAAGGGTTAAGAGAATTCTCCTACTCGGGTAACACAGGGCAGTTGCCCCCACCCTCTCATCGGTTAGATGTCGAGGGCCAGTTTGGTGTAGTGGTGAGGAGCGCGGACTCTAATCTGGGAGAACCGGGTTTGATTCCCCACTCCTCCACGTGCAGCTGCTGGTGTGACCTTGGGTCAGTCATAAGATCTTTCAGAGTTGTTCTCTCAAGGGCAGTTCTTGGGAGAGCTCTCTCAGCCCCACCTACCTCACAGGGTGTCTGTTGCGGGGAGGGGGAAGGGAAAGGAGCTTGTAAGGCGCTCCGAGACTCCTTTGGGTAGTGAAGGGCGGGGTATAAACCCAATTTCTTCTAGATGCTGAGCCTCTGTGGCCCTCGCTTGCCTTCTGCTCCATCTTATACAGGACCTCTCTTCCTCTCTCTTACCTGTGCTGGAGCTGTAGCGTTAACCTTTCTGGAGTTAATCTGTTCCCCATAAGTCAAATGTACCTACATGAATATGTCGTGTAAGATGTGCTTCTATTTCTGTAAGTAAAATTTCTTTCTCTCGTTTCCACGGGAGTCAGGTCATCTTTGTCATGTGTTTGAACAGCATTTTCCCCTTAACCGGGAAACATGGAGGACCGGGGATACTGTGTGAAGCGTCTGTGCTTCCAAGTCATATGATTACTTTTTTTTTTTTTTACATTTAACCCAATAATAACCACCCCTGGCCAGTTCCCTCTAAGCTGTGGAGTCTTGTGAGCAAAAATTCTACTTTGTGAGCTACTGGAATTAAAGTTGTGAGCAGGCGATTTGGCTATTGCATAAATTCGTTTGCTCTGGAGCCCTCCTTCCTGAGTTAAGACAAGAATGTGTGAGCCGGAGGCTAAAAAACTGTGAGCTGGCTCACACTAACTCAGCTTAGAGGGAACACTGCTGGCCACCCGGTCCGCCCCTTTACAAAATGCCATCCTAGAAAGTCATCTAGATTTCAGGACACGAGAAACCCAGAGCAGAGGGGCAAAGCAAGACCCCACTTCACAGTATTCAAAAGGTCTCTGATCCCCACGATCCCCCCCCCCCGACCATTCATCACAGGCGGAGGCCAGCCTGTCCCCAGCAGGAGGGCCCCCCCCCACTCACTTGAGGGAGAGGGAGAAGGCATCGTGGATGCTCTCGCTGTTCCGCACCAGGTAACTGGCTTCCCGGCACAGCCGCAGCAGTCCCTCCGCATCCACCCGGCTCAGGGTCCCGTGGTACCACCTGTTGAGGGGGGAGGCAAGTGTTCAGTCAAGCCTCTGCAAGGCCGCTTCGGAAGCCTCTGGCTGGGGAAGGGGGACACAAATTCAATACAAAAAAAAAATGGGAAGAAAAGAAGCAAATAAATAAAGAGCCAGAGGCCTGCGCAGCTCAGGCCGAGGGGCTCCCGTCAAATACATCCGGGGTCATTTCGTAGAAAAAGAGCTAGGGGAACTCATTAGCATAACTCATTAGCATATGCCACACCCCCTGACATCACCAGAAGTGTGTCATAAGGCCACACCCCCTGACATCACCGGAAGTGTGTCATTAGGCCACACACCCCGCCCCCAATGGTCCCGGCCGCCGCCGCCGGCCTTGCAGCTCCACTGCCGAGCCCCATGAGGGGCCCGGCGGTGGATCTGCAAGGCCGGCGGGAGTGCAAGGAAGCCCAGCGAAGGCCCTCCCCTAGCCCCAGGCAGGCAGGGGTGGGGAGAGGCAGGGAGGAAGCAACTTACCCTCCCTCTTCTCCTGCCTCCTCCTGGCTGAATGAGGGCCGGAAGCAGGGCGGCCAGAAGCAGGGGTCGGGGCTTCGTCATGTGCCCCGCCCCCCCGTACCTCACCCGGGGGAACTGCGTTCCCCCGCGTTCCCCCCCGAAATGACCTCTGCATCCGGCCATTGATGTCCCGAGGCGTCTCTGTCGGAAACTACAGGCATTGTGGTCCCCTTCGAGGGCGTCTGACTGGACGGGGTGCCATCTCCCCTCCCCCCAATTTATAAAATTTATTTTGAAACAAACAACAACGCAATCGATAAGAAGTTATTAACAAAGACAATAGCCATAGAATCATAGAGTTGGAAGGGACCTCCAGGGTCATCTAGCCCAATCCTCTGCACAATGCAGGAAATTCACAAATACCTCCCCCACACACACACTCCCAGTGACCCCTGCTCCATGCCCAGAAGAGGGCAAAAAACCTCCAGGATCTCCGGCCAAACTGGCCTGGAGAACAATTGCTGCCTGACCCCAAAGTGGTGATCGGCTTCTCCCTGGGCGTGTAAGAAAGGGCCACGAGAACTAACCACTGAGGCAACCCTTCCTGCCCTCCCTCTCACGATCTCATAATACTCCCTAAGAAAGTTATAGCTACGTGAACTATATAGAACAAGTGCCTACCCTAGATGGCAACACCACCACATGGCCCGAACTTTTGTCAAAAGAAGAAGAAGAGATTGGATTTATACCCCGCCCTTCACTTGGGAGTCTCAGAGCGGCTTACAAACTCCTTTCCCTTCCCCTCCCCACAACAGACACCCTGTGAGGTGGGTGGGGCTGAGAGAGCTCTTGACAGAAACTGCTCTTTTTCAAGGACAGCTGTGCCAGAGCTTGTGACTGACCCAAGGTCACATCAGCAGGTGCAAGTGGAGGAGCGGGGAATCAAACCCGGTTCTCCCAGATTAGAGTCTGTGCACTTAACCACTACACCAAACTGGCTCTCAAAAAGCAAGTATCTATCCCTCATGGCAAGGATCCCCAACGGCAGCCGCTAACCCCTTTCCTGAAGCTCCTCAAGTGTTTTTAGAAACTGTGGGGGGCGGGGGAGGCTTTTACCCAGCAGAGCTTCTGATTGGCTGTGCAGAGGTTTTTTTTTTTAAGTTGCTTCGGCAGCAACTGCTACCACAGCACAAAGGTCTTCACTGCATGACGGAAGGGCAGCGGGACGTAGGGAAGGTAACAACGGTATGTTCGTTTGAAAAGGAATCCTGTTAAACGGATTCAGCCTGAAAGTCAAAGAGGGACTAATGGAGTTGGGCATGATCTCATTCCCTGAAATGTTGTGGTTGGCCCCGCCTCCTGCAGCAGCCATTTTGTAGCTGCCCCTCCCACCCTGTGTCAGGATTCCAAAGGTGCCTGCAGGAAGCCCTGCCTTATGGGGCATACCCGACCATGTACTTCTACCAACGGAGCAGCATTTCAACCTGTGAAAGAGGCCAGTGATTTTCACCGGTCCCCTTCCCCGGATAATGCAGATTCCCACTTTGCACTCTACATTTCCCCAAAGGTCCTCTGAACCCCAGGGGGGGGGGGAAATTGGGGGAAGGCTCAGTGAGATGCAAAAGAAAAGGGGAGCAGGAAGTCCTGCTTTGCCAGGTCTGCAGTTGGTTGGGAACACTCCAATGATTCCCCTTAGATCTTTCTATTTCTGTGGCTCCCTCTTCGCTTGTGACTGCCGCCGTTCCTGCCCAGAGAGCATGCAGAGTTCTCACTTGTGAGGTATTGCTACGGAAGCCCGGTAGGATCAAAAAAGCTGTTCGTGGCGTGGCGGCTGGGCTCCTTTCCCTACTAACAGAAGAGGTCCTCTCGAATGCGGAGACTTCAAGGTACATGTTCTGGTGGTTCAGGTCAGGCTGTGAATGGCATCAATGGTAGGATGTATTGAGGGTTTCCTAAGGACCACGTGCAATGGAGATGGTCACTGTACCCAGTGGGCAATAGGACCTCCCTCTGCCCCACCCCCCCAAGCTACTCACGCCTGGCTCTCCAGAGGCAAAGTGGGGTTGACCCGTTCGCCGAAAGTCAATCCAGGTTCCACGCTCAGCCAGCACAAGCTGTTCCTCTTCTCCGTGCCGGACGGTGACTGGCTTTCCACCACCCCCTTGCCTTGGGGTAGAAACATACAGCCACACGTTAATGGAAAGCCAAGCAGTGGCAGATGTGGGGGCAAGTGATGGCAGATGTAGGGCAAGTGATGGCGGATGTAAGGGCAAGCGATGGCAGATGTAGGGCAAGTGATGGCGGATGTAAGGGCAAGCGATGGTCATGCAGAATAACAGGATGACAGACTGAGGAAGAAAGGCAAGGAACGTGGCACCTTGCTTTATGATGACTAGACAAAGGATCAGGCAGGGCCAAGGGAGTACCAGCTTATGATGAGAGACTCGGGGGGGGGACCCTTCATTTCCAATGGAACACAAAGGGTTCAAGGCAATGTACCAGGAGCATTTTGAATATGAAAGAGCTAAGTTATACCAACTAGTATGAGTATTTTAATGATTCAGAGTAGGGATATAAGAATATGCCCTTTTTCATGTATGTGTACTTCCGCCTCGAGTCTTTTCTCCCATATTCTGTTACCAGAATATTTGCTTTCTTTGATGCCGGTTTCACCCACCAGATGGAAAAATAGGCAACGACGTTAATGGCAACAGTTATACTGAATTTCACTAGCATGGGACGCGGGGCAGAGACTGCAGTCACATCCCAAGCGTAGAGAAAACACTGCAGGAATTGAAACCTTTGAAACTGTTAACACAGCACCGTCCCATTGAACTCAACAGAGTCCGAAGGGTGAAATTTTGTTTACGGTTGTGCTGGGAGGCTGGCTGGTTGGCAAGGAAAGGGTTAAGTAGCCCATTGCGCGCGCACACACCCACACACATATACACCTGAAGCCACTGTCATGGCTTCCCCACACTAAAAGCAGAACACTGGGGAGGGCAACGATCATGGAACTTTTGGGTATCCAACGAAGCTGATGGGCAGTAGGTTAAGGACAGACAAAAGGAAATACTACTTTACACTGAGAGTGATGAAAATGTGGAATTCGCTGCCAGAAGATGTAGTCACGGCCACAGGAATAAACAGCTTTAAAAGGGGATTGGATAGATTCATAGCTGTATCTGAAGAAGTGAGCAGTGACTCACGAGAGCTCCTACCCTGCCACATAGTTCGTTAGTCTTTCAGATGCTCCTGGACTCTTGCTCTTTTCTACTGCTACAGACAGACTAACATGGCTACCCATCTTGATCTATCTTCATGGAGGATAAGACTGTCGACAGCTACTAGCCATGGTGACTGAGTGGAAGCTCCATGTTCAGAGGCACTAATCCTCTGACTCCTAGAGCCAAGAGGCAAAATCAAGGGAAGTCCTTGGTCTCTCTGCCCTGTTGTTGGCTCTCCAGAGGAACTGGTCGGCCACTGTGTGAGACAGGATGCTGGGCTAGATGGACCACTGGTCTGATCCAGCAGGGCTCTTCTCATGTTCTTATGAAAGCCTCAGCCTCTGTGCCCTGTTGTTGGCCCTCCAGAGGAACTGGTTGGCCACTATGTGAGGCAGGATGCTGGACTAGATGGACCCTCACTGGTCTGATCCAGCAGGGTTCTTCTGATGTTTTTATAACCATAGATAACATGCAGCTTGGCCCTCAAGAGCTGCCCCCAATTTTTGAGTTGTGAGACTACAAGGACTAGAAAACTTGATCTACCATCAGCATTTTTGAAAAAGAGATATACACACTTCCCTTACTCTGAATGTATTTGCCCCTGCCAATTAGACATGGTTGAAACGGTCAATCATGTGTTATTGTATTGTCTTTTGTCTAGGGACATTTGGTCTCTATACACACAACCCTGATGTTACCAAATTTTCCAGGCAGGCCTGAAGTACTTTTGTATTTCCCTCTTCCTCTGAGATTGTTCTAATGCAGGGCCCCCCAACCTTTTTGAACCTGTGGGCAGATCTGGAATTCTGAGACAGCGTGGTGGGCACAGCAACAAAATGACTGCCACTGGAGGAGCCAGCCACAAAATGGCTGCCCCTGGAGGCGGAGCCAGCCACAAAACCATTGCCACACCTTAACTTCAGTAACACAGTGTAGATCCTTGCGTTGTGGTGGCAGCGGCTGCCAAAGCAACGTTTTAAAACATTTGCACAGTCAATCAAACCTCCAATACCCAATCAGAAGCCTTGCTGGGCAAAAGCCCTACCTGGCCCCACCTACTTCCTAAAAACACTTGGTGGGCACCAGAAAAGGTGGCACCAGGTGCCATGATGCCCACGGGCACCAGGTTGGGGACCCCTGTTGTAACGAAACCACCTTTAAGGTGGCCACATTTTGAGCCTTGGTACGCTCAATAAAACAGCAGCCAGTTAAGTCTCTTTATTAACTGTTTCTGTGCTGTTGACATCAACCCTAAAATTCTATTGTCTGTAAATATGATCATGACTCTTTCTGTGTGTCAATCTTGGCGGACCGATGATCCTAACAAATAAAGATTGATAGATTTCTAAATTTAAAGCAGGAATTGTCTGGATCTTTCTGTCCACGGCACGGCTGCCGCAACTGCAGAGTCCTAAGCCTTCTGGTTGTATTATATCTGAATGACGGTAACATCTCATCCCAAATTCTGGAGATACCCACCGCTGACATCCGAGGGAGTGGACTGTGCCACGGAGTCCGGGAAGCTGGTGCCAGTGTCCTGGAGGCTTGGTGGGCTCTCTGCAGGCGGGCATCTGGTCCCGACGCTCTGAAAGGTCGGGGGTCCCTCGGCATCCAGGTGATTCGCCATGCTATCAAGCTGTCCAACAGGGGGCGGCCACGGGAGCTCCTTGATCCCTTCGATCTCGACTGGACGAGCCGTTTAGGAGAGAAAAGAAAGAACACTGGAGGGAGGCAGCCTGGGGACTTGTCTAACTGATGGCACACTTGCTTAGCACGGCAACGCTCTGACTAGGGGCCAACACCCTTGGGGAGTGAAGGCCGTCATACACAGATGGGGCTTCGTTGCCTGTCATCTAGCCGAGAGAACAGGGCAGATTTATTCTCAGCGAGCAAAGCCCGCAAGCTAACTGATTTGCAAGTAAGCTGGAAGGAAGAAACAGGACTCAACACCTGTTTATTCGGGGTGACTAACAGTGAGAAAAGGGAGGCTGCAACCAAGAAACCAGAAGGAGACTGAGACAGGGAAGGGTAACTGTGAAGAAATGTATTTTCGCCTGGGAGGTTGGCAAGGAGCAAAGCCTCCACTTCACATTTTAACAGGGTTTTTTTTTCCCCCCTAGGCAGAGGTGGAAGTCAGTTCGCTTGTACCGCAACCCACCTTCATACAAATGCTAATCGGTCTAGACCAGAGGTGTCAAACATAAGGGCCGAGGGCCAGAACTGGCCTGTCCAGGGCTCGTACCCGGCCCTCAAGCAACTGGTATGGATGGAATTGTAAAGAACTCCCCTTTTTACAATATCCCGAATAACGGACGCCGTGGCCCTCTGTCTGCAACACCTGAGCAAGGCTATTAACAAGAGGACGTTCTGGAGGACATTAATTCATAGGGCTGCCATAAGTCGGATGCGCCTGGACAGCACTTAACATATGCACCACGGGGAGAACAGACTTTTAGATTAAGGTGGTTTTGTGTTTAAAATGATGTAAGCCAAGTCCTGGAGATCAAGAGAAAAGGGGGAGGTACGTATTTTAAATCGATCAGACGTACCCGCAAATACTCTGGAGATCCGGTCCTTTTTCCACTCCCAGGGCTGGTCGTATTCCTCAGGCGGCCGTTCATCATCCTCGGGCAGCCAAGAGTAGCGAAACGGGATATCCGGCAGGTGCTCGCTCTCGGCTTCCGTGTCACCCTCGTGTGCTTCGTACGGAGTGTCGTACAAGTGCAAGGGCTTGGCAACAGCGGAGCCGTCCTCGGAATCGCTCTTCTGAACTTCTGGGAGCAAAGAAGGAAAGAGGCCACATTATGTTCCTTCCCTTTTCCAGAGCACATTTCTGGGATTCCATGTGTCCAATGGGAAACAAATTCCAAACCAACTTCTCATAGCGATGCTTGAACTCTGGACCCCCTGGTATGAAAAAAATATATACAGATGTGTGCTAGATGCCCACAGAACCATGCAATAACAAAAGAGACTAGACTAAAACCATAACATCATTTAGTGTCTGGTAATAAAAAAAAACAACCACTTACTCCTTCATAGAAAAATACAAAGGTCGATAAAATTCCGCAAAGCAATCTGCTCCAGACTCTCTCGATCTATACCCCTCCAGCACTCTTGTAAAAGGTAAAGGTTCCCTTGCTCGAAAGCCAGTCGAGTCCGACTCTAGGGTTGCGGTGCTCATCTCCGTTTCCAAGCCGAAGACGTTTCCGTGGTCATGTGGCCGGCCTGACTAAACACCAAGGCGCACGGAACGCTGTTACCTTCCCACCGAAGTGGTACCTATTTATCTACTTGCAATTTCTTGCTTTCGAACTGCTAGGTTGGCAGGAGCTGGAACTAGAGACGGGAGCTCACTCCGTCATGCAGCACACTCGGGTCTCGAACTGCTGAAGTACCGACCTTCCACAGCCTGCAGTTCAGCGTCTTAACCACTTGAGCCACCGCAGCTCTTCTATCCTTATCCAAATTCCCAAAAGCAGTCTGCTCCAAAATCAATCAATCTGTGTCTCTCTCTCAGTCGACACTTTTTCCAGATATCTAAGTGTTTCAGACCTCTGGTCTTTCCTCAGGAACAAATCCTATATAGGAATCTTACATTCATTCTTACATTCAAGTTGACACATTTTCACTGATTTACTTTTCTGTTAAATCTCTTTGGGCAAGGCCTCCTCACTTATTTCCAAGCGTGCCGATGCTGCTGCCAAAGTCAAATGGACCCACACGATACCTCACTCGTACCAGACTGTCTTGGGACTGCGTGTTATTCTTGTGGATGGAACTCTGGACCCTGCCGTGGGCTAGCCCCAAACCAGGCAACAAGACCTGGGCCCCGGGTTCTGACTTTTACCCATGTTTTAGTAAAACACCGGAGAATCTCCACAAGATAGGCCCACCCCAAAGCTGTCTGTCAGGCTTTGAATAAGTACCCACAGTTCCTGCAAACCTCATAAGCCTCATAAGCAACACAAAGCTACTGTTCCGGCTGTGCGGATATCTCACCCACTGTGAGCTAAAGGAAACTGCAGGGCGGTTGTATGTGTTCCCCTCTCACCTCACCCTATACTGCCCTCTCTTGGGGGAGGGACTTTGACTAACAGTGCCATCCTAAACAGAGTGGTGGTCTTAAATGCCACCAAGTTGCAGCTGACTTACAGTGACCCCATAGGGTTTTCAAGGCAAGAGGCGAACAGAGGTGGTTTGCCATTGCGTCACGACCCTGGACTTCCCTGGTGGTCTCCCATCCAAATACTATCCAGGGCCAACCCTGCTTAGCTTCCGGGATCTAACGAGATTAGGCTAGCCTGGGCCATCCGGGTCAGGGCATACAAACAGGAGGTGGTTGGCCACTGCCTGCCTCTGTGTCATGACGCTGGACGTCCTTAGTGGTCTCTCAATTAAATACTAACCAGGGCCAACCCTTTTCGCTTCCAGGATCTGACGAAATTGGGCTAGCCTGGGCCATCCAGGTCAGGGCAGACAAATAAGAGGTGGTTTGCCATTGCCTGCCTCTGCGTCGCAACCCTAGGCTTCTTTGGTGGTCTCCCACCCAAATACTATGCAGGGCTGACCCTGCTTCGCTTCCGGGATCTGACGAGATCAGGCTAGCCTGGGCCATCCAGGTGAAGTTACACCCTTCTAAGTTCATTGAACTCTGCTGAGAATGGCACTGTAAGCATACAACTGTAGTGTTAAACGAGACAGACACACAACAACATCAGAGAACATTATCCAGAAGAGATCAGGGCCCTGAGGGACCTTCAACAGTTCCGCAGGGCCTACAAAACGGAGCTCTTCCACCAAGGCCTGCAAGACAGAGCTCTTCCACCAGGCCTTTGGTTAAGGAGTCACCACCGACACCACCACCACCAACATCATTACTAAAGACTACCAACAACAACTGACAAAAATAGACCCCTATTCCCTGATTCCACCATACAGCCTGCTGCATATATATATGACAAAGATCAAAAAGCTGATGAGCAAGGCAGACTATAGATTATTAACATAGCCGTTACTGCCATCCTTAAGTATTAGTTTACAACTAGTTAGCACTTATTGTATCAGATTGTTTTTAGATGGTTTTATCTGTGTTACAATTGTTTTATGTTTTATCTTTTGTAAGCCGTCCTGAGCCTGCTTTGGCAAGGAGGGCGGCGTATAAATTGAATAAATAAATAAATAACATATTTATTATGGGCATTCCCTTAACAGTAGGTTATGGAACAGAGAAAGGCTGCATCCCTGATTCTGTTCTGCACTTCAAAGAGTTAAGTCCCAACCAGCACTTATTCCAGACTCCTGGATCAAAGCAGAAAACAGGTAAAATGGGCAAAAGAACCTCCTCAGGAAAGCTCCTTCATGAGCATGTTCACATCCTGGGGAACTCCTACAAGATAATGACTCAGCCCTACCCCACCTTCCTGAGTAGAGATAGATTACCTGCCTACCATTTTTCTTCTCACCTTGACACAGAGAGTACTCCATCTTTCTGTGTTATACCTCTGAGGATGCCAGTCACAGCTGCTGGCGAAACGTCAGGTACTACAATGCCAAGACCACGGCCGTACAGCCCAGAAAATCTACAACAGCTAACAAACTCCAGCCGTGAAGGCCTTCGGCAACATAAAAAATGTGTACTTTACCAGCCAGCAACTTCTGAGCTTCGTACGGTTCCATGTAGCCTTCATTCTTCACCCTTTCCGGCTCCCCGGCCGCTTCTTCTTTGGTATCAAATGGATCTGCATAGTCCTCCAGAGCAACCGTCTGGAAGCAAAGAGATGACCCAAATGGTTAGAAAAGGAGGACTCTGGGTCAGAGACAAGCTTCCCCGTATATCTGAGGGGCTTCAGAACAGACCGCCACACCGCATGCCTGATGCAAAGAAGCTCTGTAGATACATTGACAAAGAGACCCGGATTCAGGACACTTTCAGTGCCGTCCTAAGCTGTGACGCCCTTCCAATCCCAGCAAAGTCCATTGGTTTGAAGGGTGCCAACTCCGCTTAGGATGGCAATGTCACCAAACAACATATGTGGCCTATTTATTTATAAAATTTACAAGTGGCAGAGGGATTCATCAATCAATATATTTTACAAAAGCTCAGACTAAACAAAACATCTCTTCAATAAAAGTGGCTTTCAAAGGGAGACTCCATCGTGAAACTGCTGAATCAGACTTCATCAACTAGTTCAGTCATTCCAATCAGGGCTTTAAATAGAGATTACCCCTTTCTCACCCCACACAGATGCTCCATTAATTCACTTTAATCTGGAAGACGGTATTATCACCACTTACGTTGTTATGAATGGACGCTACATTTATATTGCTCACTATGGGCACTGTATTTACATTACCTACTTTTGAGTTTTGCACAGAAATATCACAGACTGTACCCCTCTTCCATTTCATGATTGTTTAACCCTTCCCATGCCGTCTGGCCCACCAGTTAAGAGCCTTTCCCCATGTCCTGTTCCCTGTGCCTTGACCTGCAGAGGTGAGGCAGGTGGTGATAACAGGGCTTTTCCAGTGGTGGCACCTCACTTTAAGAATGCCTTCCCCCTTTGGGGTTCAACTGGTGCCTACCCAGCAGTGCGATCCTAAACAGATCTACTTATAATCCTACTTAATGGTGCTTATTCTTGGGAGAACGTTCTCAGGATTGTGTATTTTTATTAATGGCTTGTTTAACTATTGATCATTCTTATGGTATAGATGTTCTTGTTATTATTTTATATCCCCCCCCCCTTTCTTAGCCTCTGGGAACAGGTCTTTGCAGAGGCAGTATATACATTTTCTAAAGAATAGTAAGTTAAGCATGGTTCAGTGCAATTCTAAACAGGTCCACACAGGATCCTACTCAAGTGTAATCAGTGAGGCTCCCTCCAGGAAACTGTTCTTACAATACTGCTGCCAAGCAGTGTTCCCTCTAAGCTGAGTTAGTGTGAGCTAGCTCACAGTTTTTTAGCCTCCGGCTCACACATTTTTGTCTTAGCTCAGGAACGATGGCTCCAGAGCAAACTAATTTATGCAGCAGCCAAATCTCCTGCTCACAACTTTAATGCCAGTAGCTCACAAAGTAGACTTTTTGCCCACAGGGCTCCATAGCTTAGAGGGAACAGGTGTAGCAAGGACTTAATATTTAAGGAGGAAAAGGGTAAGTTTGTCGCGTTCTTGGAATAACAGATATTTAGCAAAAATATCACATGAACACACATCAGTATGCCTTATACTGAGTCAGACCCTTGGTCCATTGAGATCAGCATTGTCCACTCAGACTGGTAGCAGCTCTCCAGGGTCTCAGGCGGAGGTCTTTCCCAACATCTACTGCATGGCCCTTTTAACTGGAGATGCCAGGGATTGAACCTACGACCCTCTGCATGCCAAACGGGTGTTCTTCCACTGAGCCATGGACCCTCCCCATATATAAGCATAGAAGAGCCAGATTCAAGTCTAATAGCACCTTAAAGACCAACAAGCTTTTTAGGGTATAGGTTTCTGAGAGTGGTCTCCCATCCAAGTACTGACGAGGGCTGACCCAGCTTAGCTTCTGAGATCCAATGAGATCGGGCCAGCCTGGGCTATCCAGGTCAGGGCCGGGACGTATTACAAAAGCAGAAAACAATGCAACGAGAAACAGTATAAGACGTACCATAAATAACACAAAAACCAGATGACAAGAACTAGAAGGTAAAAAGGTAAAGGTTCCCTTGCTCGAAAGCCAGTCGAGTCCGACTCTAGGGTTGCAGTACTCATCTCCGTTTCAAAGCCGAAGAGCCAGCGCTGTCCGAAGACGTTTCCGTAGTCATGTGGCCGGCATGACTAAACACCAAGGCGCACGGAACGCTGTTACCTTCCCACCGAAGTGGTACCTATTTATCTACTTGCAATTTCTTGTTTCCGAACTGCTAGGTTGGCAGGAGCTGGAACTAGAGATGGGAGCTCACTCCGTCATGCGGCACACTCAGGTCTCGAACTGCTGAACTACCGACCTTCCACAGCCTGCAGTTCAGCGTCTTAACCACTTGAGCCACCGCAGCGCCTAACTAGAACTAGAAGAGAATGTGGTAAAAACCAGGGCTATAACACAATACAGCCCTGTTTCTCTTTTTATACCTTTTGTGGACTGAAAGGCTTTGAAGGAACCTCCCTGATCTTAAGGGGCAGGCCAATTTCAGAGAACACTCGGGTAAAGAGCAGCTGTCAATCATATCCAGTTGCAAGGGGATACCTTTAGAATAGCCCTGACCGGGATAGCGCAGGCAAGCCCGATCTCGTCAGATCTCAGAAGCTAAGCAGGGTCAGCCTTGGCTAGTATTTGGAAGGGTGACCTCCAAGGAATACTAGGGCTACAACGCACAGGCAGGTTATGGCAAACCAACTCTGAAACGTCTCCTGCCCTTAAAAAACAAGTCTAGCTCACCGCCTATTGATGCATAATGCTAAAAGGAACCAGAACTCCTGCCTGCCAGACAATCTTAGGATCTCCTGGCTATTCTACATGCAATGCCATATGGTAATTAAATTAAATTACCTTCAGAATGCTTTGCTCAGATGAGTGCAGCAAGCACAAGGGGGCGTATTGGGAGAGAAGGTCCTTTAGATATGTGGGTCCCAGAACATGAAGGGCACATAAGAATATAAGAGAAGCCATGTCGGATCGGGCCAATGGCCCATCCAGTCCAAGACTCTGTCACACAGTGGCCAAAACCCAGGTGCCATCAGGAGGTCCACCATCAGCACCTGGAATTAAACCTGGGAACTTAATCAGTAACCAATGGGGTGACTGCAGATTAGGTAGCATATGCTTACTTTGCCAAACTCCCACTAGCAGCGGCATTCTGTACTTGCTAAAGTTTGCAAGTGGTCTTCAAAGGCATACCCACGTGAATCCCATGACAGTAGTCAAGCCTCAAGGTTACAAAGGTTGTACAATGACATTCCTTACATTTGCAGGTGACCAAAACGGGGAATTCAGAACCATTGCAAGAAAGGAAGTCTCACCAACTAGAGATGAAAAAAAGGGCTTAAAAGGGACTTTTCACAGCACAGAACTCAAGCCCGCACACTGATCAATCCACACGACCTCCCTGTTCTGTCATCAGACCCACTAAACCAGATGAGAAATTCACACCACCCACAAGCATGTGCTGATAGGGTGGGAAGAATCCACACTTGTGCTGTTCTCTGCCCTCCTGCACAGGAGGAGAACAAATGGGGAGCTAAAGGCAATTGAGGGATATTAATTGCCATTAATGACCCCTGAGAACTGCACCCCAGTTTAGAGTCTGTTCTGCAGTTGTCTCAGGATTGCGTGTTGGGAACTGGGACAATAGATGATGTGTAAGGGCGGGGTGGGGGGGAGAACCTGTGGTTGCGAGTAAAAGATTGTGCCATGAACTGGGGAGAGCACACATGGGTTCAAAGCTATGACCTCATGACGCAGGTCCACTCGGAATCCTACTTCAGTCTTCTCAGTGGGCTTTACTCCCAGGAAAAGGATCTTTGGGCTGCCTGTCAGTGACAGAGCCAGTTAGTGAAGGGCCAGTTTGGTGTAGTGGGCAAGAGCGGCGGACTCTAATCTGGAGAACTGGGTTTGACTCCCCACTCCTCCACATGAAGCTAGCTGGGTGACCTTGAGTCAGTCACAACTCTTCCAGAGCTCTCTCAGCCCCTAAAAACAAGTCGAGCTCGCCACTATCAGAACACTAAGAGCTAGAACTTGCGGCTGCCAGACAATCTCAGGATCTCCTGGCTATTCCAATCCACACACAATGCCATACGATAATTAACTAACTAGTTGGGAGTCAGCATGGCTTAGTGGTTAAGACCGATGGACTCTAATCTGAAGTACCGGGTTTGATTCCGCCTTCCTCCACTTGAAGCCAAGCTGGGTGACCTTGGATCAGTCACAGCTCTCCCGGCCTCCCAATAATAAGCCCAGCTCACTGCATAACGCAAAAAAAAAAAAAAAGATCTAAAGCTTTAGGCTTCCAGACAATTTTAGGATCTCCTGGCTATACCACACACAATGCCATATGATCATTTATTTATTTATTTTTAGTGGCCCTCAGCAAACCATTCCCTCCCAGCCTTGGCTCCGCACACAGGGATCACTGAACTGATCTACCTTACAAGGTTGGCGTGATAGCATCTCTTACAGAAAGCACTTTGAGCAGGCAAAAATGCTACTGATCATTGTTTTATCCAAGGGTAGCAATTCGCACAGCGCAGTCCTTAGGCATGATTACTCAGAAGTAAGCACCCCTTCCTTTTGCCTAGGATCTCACTTTCCTGGTCTTAAAGGCACCACGCTGGACTCAAACTTTGCTCTAGGATCTCAGCCTTAGCCTGCCTATAAAGCTCCCGGTTCGAAGACACCAATGCACTGGGAGACAATCTACTTCCTCCGGGCCCCACCTCCACGCAGGGAAGTCAATTAAACCCACCTACCTTGCAAGGCTGTTGTGTGACCCACGCTCTAAGCAGACCAAACACACACACACACAAAAGATCCCTATTAACTATTTTATCACAGGGTGGAACCTCGCCACCGTGCAATCCCGGAAGCGCGTTTACTCGGAAGTAAACTGCCCCGTGTGCCTCGGACGCCAGCTCCCCCCGGGAAGGGCATCTCCTCCCAAAGAAGCGCGCCCTCCTGGAAGGAAGCCATCCCCGTCGGGAACAATGGCGCTTACTCGCGAGTAGTCGCTGAGAAAGTCGCGGGTGGCGCCCCCCCTCCCTCCCTCCCTCCCCCCCC